GGTATGGGGTGTATTTTTCTAAACTCACTCGAACCACTATTAAAAGTAAAATCTGCCTTGGCAGTTCCCGTTACAAGAACATCGTTACTGTCCATCTCCACCTCTTTACGGAATCTGTTCTAATTTTTCCTCGTAAAGCTCAGTTGTTAAATACGAAAACTTCACATCGTTCACGGGTAACATAAGACCGGTTCAAGGAGCATTCCAATGAATTCTTAATGTTTCTTTTGTTCCCATGCTTACCGGATTTGAACCCACTCGAGCACATTTGGAACACTGTGCAGACCATTCTCAGTGGCTTGGCGTCACTTCTAAACAGCACGGTAGAATTATGGATTGCCATTTCAAAGTGCCTTGATAAGTAAACCCAGATACTGTTTCCAGAATTTGTCGACTCTCGCCACGTCGTTTAGTCACTGTTACTAGGTCAAAAGGAAGATCTGCGCATTGTCAGCAGTGTTGTCTAATAATTCTATTTAAAATTTGGCATTTATATGAGCAGGAAAAACAGGAAAATCTTTAAGTATGAAAATATAAATTTGTAATTTTCACTTAAATGAGAAAATATAAAAAATAAGTTTATCACTTTTTTTCCTTGACCATTTTAAATAGTCCATATGAACTGAATAAAATACAAGACCATTTGTCATTTTTTTCTTTGTAGATTAAGTTTTTCAAAGCAATATATTACCAATTATTTATAAATTATTTAAAAATTTATTTATTGTAGCCTTATTTTACAAAATATCAGTAAAATGAGAATGTTAAAATATAAGAAAGAAAATAAGAGCTTCACAAGACGTTTTTATGTCTTACTGCGTTTGTAGAAATCAGTAACTCTGGAATTATCAATAATTGTTCATTATCATAACTATAGGAGTGCTATACAATTTCTTAATAAAGTTGCATCTATAAAATAGATGCAACTTTATTAAGAAACTGTATAGCATCCATGTTGCTGATAGATAGTATTGAAGATAAGTTATAACTGATTTGATACATTGATTAAATTCAATAAAACATATTATTATGTCTGTCAGACATCTCTCCAAGTATTCTAAAAACAAGCTTAATGGAATTACTATTGACTGCTCTAATTAAGATAGGCCTAATAATCTAATTTTAATTAAAAAATTTTACTCAATAGTGTTGAAGGTGATTTCAACAAATCGCTTTGTTTGCTTGTTTAGAAATGTTTCTCCTTTTCCTTTCGATATATTTTTGGTTAATTTTATATAGTCGATAAACGCTCATAAATCTGTTACAACTAATAAAAATTTTGCAATTTTTAGGTTGTCTATTTTCTAAGTTTGAACTCGAAAGATTATAAAAATAAAACTGTGTTTTAATATTTTTCATAATAGTTATATGAGAAAAAAGGTGTCTATTAATTCTTATTAAAGTTAATTTTAATTAAATGAGCAATTTCAAGTATAAAAACTTTTGAAAAAGATGTTGATTCACGAACTGTAACATAAAAATCCAGCAACGAATTGTTTAACATTCCCGGCAATATTTGATGAAGCCATCTGTTATCGTATTTTATTAAAAAAATCTTTCTATATTTTTAACTATTATAAAATGGTATAGACATAATTTTGAGAGATGGGTTTTATAAAAAATTATAAATGCTAATAACAAGTAAAATCGTCATTAAGTCCGACTTTACTGGAGATACTCACGACCCCTTTATCTCCTCATCCCCTCTACCTTTAATCTTCAAAATTTAACAGCATCAATCCTCCTAATAAACAAATCACTTTGCAAAATTTTAGAAATTTTTGACAAAAGCACAGGAGTTATTACGTTTCAAAGAGGGTGAACAAAATCGTACCCCCCCACACACACACACAAGCACACTAACATTCGTACATACCGCAAAAAATCCAAATTTTTTGCATTTCTCGTCATTTCAAGGTGTTTTGAATCCAAAAAATATAACTCTTGGGTGGTCATTTTTTGACCGATCGCCATACTTTCCTTCTGTTATATATAACAGCTGAGAAAGTAAAAATGTATCACTCTACTAAATGTATTGAAAATGATTGTGTTCACGAATATCTTCACTTGCATGCTGTTTCATGCTTTTGCTCACACATGTTGGCTATTTCGATGCCTTCGTATATTCTAGTTATTTTTCTGGCTATTATGTATAGCAGAGAGAAAGGGAGCGATAACTTTTTTTTTACCAGACTTGTGTTATTTTTACCTTAAAGGAGATGGATTAATTCATTTTCCGTTATTTCTAATGGGAAAAAGTGCTTTGGACTTCGAACGATTCGGAGTTGAGTTGAGTTGCTTTGGACTTTGAACGATTCGGAGTTCGAACGATCGTAGTTGAGAAATATCTGTTGCGATATAGTACATAGTTGCATTTAACGCTTCTTTTCTCTGATTAACTACGAGTTTGGCTTGTGTCTTAGTTAAAAGGAGTCAGGCATCGGAAACTATTGACAAACTATTTCTCTTCAGGTCAGGTATGTTTTATTTATACCTAACACAAGTATGTTCTGTACTTGCTATTGTGTTAATAAAATATAGTACCTTCAATCATAAGTCTTACTGTTTATTGTATAGGAACCTCTATATCTCGAAACTTGTCTATCTCGAATTTTTTCTAGTTCCTGTGAGATTCTAGATAGATAGGTTCAACTGTATATCCATATGAAATGCTTTGTACAGTACATTTGAATATCGGTAGAAGAAACAACAGCTGTCGTTGGACGGTATATCACTAACGCAATAATTGGAAGCCCAAAGGACTAGAAGCCATCCAACGAATTTAAATAAATCAGCAATGCTATGCTACTGAGTTTAATCGAAATTGCTTGAAAAAGTATAGCAAAGTTGTCAAATAAAAGTAAAATGAAAACTTTAAAAAAAAATTTTATAATGGAGTTCAGATTGAAATAATTTAAAAACATGGCAATATAAAGAAATATAAACTTATATTTTTTTCAAATTTTCTGAATTGCTATCGAACATCCTCAAGTAATCTCTTAGTGAATTGTGTGTATCATAAGTTTTATAGCATTTCCAGCTGTCTACTACGAAAATTCACCAGAAAATATCTTGTTAAAATATTGTATTTTTTTATTTTATCATCGCTATATATACAAATTTTTAAAAATATAATTTTAACTATATAATAATATATTTACTTACGAACTAAATTTATTATAAAACAATTTTATTAAAAGAGAGTTCATTCAACGGAGACTTTCAGGAACCAGTTAGTACGTAAAACAGGAAATCTACCACACATGTAATTGATCATAATCTTATGATTAATATAATTAATAATGAATAAATATTAAATTTTGTATCCTCTTCCATATACGAAATATGAAACTTTTATTATTTCTGTAAACAAAATTTTTAGTTTATATTTTCATTTCAATTTTTATAAAAGTGGATCACATTTCATATGTAAAAGAATATATTTTTTTTAATTGAAATATAATGTCATTACGCTGTTACATTACGAAATAAACAATAAGAATGAATAAAATATAATGAAAATAAAGGTCTCTAAGATGAAGTACTTCAAATAAAATAATCAATTTTAAAGTAGTTTTAAGATCAATTAAATTAACAATTATCTTATACTCATTTATCTGTGAAAGAACAGTTTAATTAAAAACAATATTGCTTTAAAGTATATTTTCTTTTTCACTCTCCTGCTTATTCTAAAAGCATTATTAATTTTCTCCCTTTTTTAAACGTGTGCTAACCTCTCTGCCAGATTATTCATTCTTTTTAATAAACATATCCATAATGAATATTCAGTAATTTTTTATTCAATTTGAATTTAGTCGAAATGCATTTTAATCTATTCATTTAAATCGTATATATTTTAGTACATTATATGAGTAATTCTAAATTCCAAAATGAACCTCCTTGTTAAATTATTTAAATGCAAATAATATGGAAATAAATTATGATTAATTTTCGTATTGTAAAGTTTAAGTTGAAATAAACAAACTATAACTTATGATTTACTCATTGTGTCACACCATTTTGGTTAGCATTGGATAGAAAATATTATCATAATAACTTCTTAACAATTTTAGAGTAAATCATTTCAATATTGATGTGAAAATTGTTCATTTATTAATTATTGTTAGTTTATCTTTACGATTTAATAAAATGAATTCATAAATTCGGCAACGTTGATCTATGGGGTTAGATTTTTGACAAAGTATTAAAAATTAATTAATAAGAATTAAAGGATTTGTTTTTTCGTAAGTTTTGTTGAAACATATTTCCATTTTTATGTATAAAACTTAACAAAATCTTTGGGATGAGGACTTTTAAGATTAATTTGATCGGAAAAACATTTTCCAGCGATCTCGAATTCACATCTAACAAGCAAAAAGAATTAAGCTAGAAATGTTCATGAGTGCTTACTCATAAACATTTCTTGCTTTATTCTTTCAAGACAGTTTTTCATAATTCAATTTAAATCTAAAATAATTTTAAATTTTATTTTAAATAAATATAGTTATATTTATTTTAAAAATAATAAAGTAGTAAATTAATTTATATGATTATTCATAAGTGAAAATAAAATTCATTGAAGTGATAATTTAATAATTTCATTTTAATAAATCGCTAATAAATGAACATATTGACTTAATAAATTAACCAGACAAATAATTATAATGAAAGATTTCGTATAATAATCTAAACAGGACACCGAAACTCTTTTCAAAGTTAATTAATATGCTAATGCTAAAAATTGTAAAATGAATGCAAATTAATGTAAAGGAAATAATTAAATCTTGGCTGACATTTGCAATAATAAACCACCACATATTTATTTGTCATAATATTTACAACTTCATCTACTACAATAATTTGAAATTTTCTAGTTACTTGTCATAATCATTTGAACATATAAATAGAATATTAAGCAAACAAACAACATTAAAATGTTCATTGCTTTACTTAACTAAACAATTCGTAAGGAAATAAAACGATAAAAAATATATATATATTTAATGTTCTAATTCGTTAGGAGGTGCCGTCGTGCTAATAGGAACTTCAATTTTCTTCAAAAGAGCTATTTCGTTCAATCGATTGAAGAGTTGAAATGGAGGATCGTAGAATAGAATGTAAAAGTAATTCTTTTCTACAGTCGGATCTTTCCATACCAATCCTGCAAATTTATGTGCTTCGTCCAACCACTGTTCTTCCGTTGGTCTTCCAGTAAAACTCCTAATAAAATGATAAAATATTTCTTAATCCCTTGTCGATTATTTGTGATTATTTTTAAACTAATCGAAATGTATTGAAATTGATAAAAATTTATTATTACAGAGATCTAGCTATCTATCTAATACGGAATTAAAAGATATGTTTATGTTAATTAGGAATATAATTTTCTAAATTTATCATTCTAGCTATGCATTTTCTACATTCTAATATACTGCTGTCCAAGTGAAAAGCAACACCATGTAGATCTCTAGATTGTGCAGGTGTTGCATTTTACTTGGCCAGCTGTGTATTTCAAAAGTTATGAATAAGCAAATTTTAATTTGGGGAAATTAAATTGAGTGTAAATCATCGATAACTGTTAAAATTATATTTTTCTCTTTATTGAGAAATTTAATAAATTAATGACTTTAATATAAAAGATATCAGTTTATTTAAATTTCTGAACAGATTATTTTTAATATAAAAACTGATCGCTAATGTTTAATGCATTTATAATAAATTTCAGGATTTACATAATTATTCTTCTCGAAATTGCAAGGTAGTTTATCTTTAAATTATCTATATTTAGATTTTTAAAGGAAAAAAAACCTTTGTCTTATTACTAAAAAAATCTTATTCTTATTACTATAACTTTTCTTAATTGATAGTATTTATCGCATAAAAACGCTTATAATAAAATACAAATAATACAGAGTGGCTCAAAAGGCAGTTAACCAAGTTGGTGAACTGACTTTTGAGCCAGTTAACCAAGGCTATCATGTATTTAAATGTATTTAAAATAAAAAATTATATATTTATATAATTATTAATTTAATCTAATTATTGTTATTATTATTTACATAATAGAGTCTTATATTTAACTATTCTCAAGTCATCGTATTCAGCAGTATCATTTTATATCCGTAACGATAAAATATTGTGATTCGTTAATTAAAAAAAAAAAAAACATTTTTACATATACGTTGAACACTTTAGAAATGAAGAATCACTCCACGCATTTTAGTGACATAACGTTGTATAAAAGGAAAACACGTTCCCAAATACAGCAACTCAATTCATAAATTTTGTACCAGAATAAAAAAAATTGGTTTTTATTAGTGTTTTAAATTCTTCGGATTAATTGGAAGCGATCATTTTGGATAAATTATAAATTTATATTTCATGTGACAAAGATATAAGCACTATTTCTTTTTATATATAGAAATAAATCAATAACTTTTTAAACATAATTCTAAATTTGACTGTAAGCTGGCTAATAAGACTGGCTGTAAGCTTACGTCTTATATTGTAACACGCAAAACTGCTTATTTTCTGAATCAAAATTCAGATATTGTAAAAGATTATTTAAATATTCAATTAATTAAGAAAGTTACTTCTAATCTAAATTATCTAGCGTTCTTGTGCTATTCTTATTTAAGATGATAAACAACTTACATAATTATTATAAAATGAATGAAATGATTTTCTTTTGTTTGATATTCATCTTTATCTGTATAATAATATAAATTCTTAATGCGTATTAAATTCATTTCAACCCTGACATTTGGTCTAACAACATATTATTTAAAATTGTATTCATCGACTTATGTATTGATAACAACAGCCTATACTTAATCATTGATTCTATTTGTAATACAATAGATGATTTATCATACCTTGTCACATAACGTAGAGGTGGTTCTCGATCAATAAATACTGTTGGATCTAAAGGATAAGGTACATTTTCTTTCATATATCCAGGAATAGGAAAGGACATGGTAAAAGTACTGTAACATGTAGCACCACGGCAAGGTATTATTCTTATTCGTGCAGGAGTAGTAGAATTAATTGCGATACCTAAAATATTTTTATGTTAAATTTATCCTTATGTACTGTACACTTTAAATATTAAAAACATTTTCAACTTACCATCGATGTTGCTTCCTCTATAATATTCTATTAATTTTTTATACATAATTCTCTGAGCTTCGGCTAAAGTAGAACCATCTGCAGTAGTGCTCACCCAAGTCGTACCTGGATATTGACGTTCTTCGTAATCCTTTCATTAAAGTATACGGTTTTTAAATTACCATAAAATATGACGTGTAATATTATCATATATAAATAAATAGTAAATTGAAAAATAAAAGTTATTTTATAATTACCGGTGTTCTAGAAAGAACTTGATATTCTACACACTCAACTCCTCTTCTGGAGCATAATGCATCGCTTCTGAATATCTGTAAAAATGACGTTTTTCAATGGTTACGTAAATATTTATCTGCTTAGTAGTCTGTAAAAGGAAAATTATTATAAAATATCATTTTAACTATTTACCTGGATCAAAAATACGATTAAAACTACCGGAAACATATCTGAAAAATAAAATTTTACTGTGAATTCTATTGGCTAAAACTTATTTTATATACTCTAATAGTGATATTAAGATGATCGTAACTTACCTTTATACATTGTGCTATAAAACGTTATCGTGCAATCCTATATATAGCAGAAGCATTCATTTAAGATGACAAGCCAATTACCTTTCTTTATTTTAAAGCAGGAAGAAGTAATCCCTCCGAGCAACATTTTTCTCTTTGTGATGTGACCGTTACTTGGGTCAAGCCATTTGTCCAGATGAACTTCAGTTTTCTAACAGGACTGCCCTACCTAGATTTACAGAATATCTCAAATTCTTTCTACAAAGTTTTTATTTAAAAAACAATAAAATATATTTTTAACAATAATTAATACGCTATAATTTACCTATATAGATATATTAATGAATTTTAGCTTTAGATTTTGTAATGTCTTTCGAATATCTTATTTATTTTAATGATTTTTAACTTATTTTCACGTACGATTTATATATATAATTTAAAATGTTAATTTTTAATATTTTTATAGTCTATATATTTGGATGTAATATTTTTCGAAATTCTAAACGACGATAATTAATTAAATATTTCTATTAGATGTTTAAATAAAACTAAATCGAGACGGTTTCAAAATTTTTTGTTCGTTCAAAGTTTCTTAAAAACAAATTAAATCTTTATATATTCTTTAATGGCTATTAAAATTTAAATTTATATATGAATCTCGTCTAAAGTATTTTATATTTACAGTTTATAAAATCGAAAACGTCTATAAATATGTTATAGCATTCAGAATAAACTTATTTCATTAGAAATGTAAACTATTAAATATTACAATATAAATATTTCACACAAAATTATTTTAAAACGAATATTTTGATTAGAATATTAAGGAACCAATATTTTATAGCACTTGATCTTATGACCTTGACACTGAGAACTTTTCGAGTAGTTCCCGTTCAGAAAAGAAAACTTGTCGGATGAAGACCAGACAACATATGAAAGTTCAATAACCTGTCGTCCTTTAATATTCAAAAACCATTTCTGAATTTCAACAAAGAAACTCGAATTTATAAATTAAAAAATTAAAAAGAAATTTGAATAGAAAATGTGCGAATAAAATTTATAAAGCGTATTATATCTTCTTCAAAACTTTACCTTATAACGCTTATAATAAGCGTTATAAGGTAATGTTTTGAAGAAGATTATTCTAAAAAATTGTTGATTAATTATCTCAGTCTGTTTTGTATTAAGTTAAATATATTATAAGCAGCATCACACAAACAAGTCTGTGAATTATTTATTACAATAAACAAATATTTATAGACTATGATAACTTGCAGCTTTATTAACTTGGATAATGTATTTTATGATAAGATTAATTAATTGGTCATTAATTTACAATCCTTTCACTAATTAATCAAATTATACTCGAATGTAAAGATTTAATTATCACAAAATTAAATTATGTCATTGTGTGAATTTATAATTTTGATTGTTTTTTTGAAAAGACAGACTTCGAAAAAAGAGATATTTGTTTCGACAATTCACTTTTTTATTATTAAAAATAATAGAACCGATCTTTGATGTCATTTGAAGTGGTACAAGATTTCTACATAAAGAAATTAAACTGTTAAATATTGAAGTTTATTTTACTGAGAAAAATCTATAAAAATCCCAATTTTGCAGTATGAACTTACTTTTTTTATACACGAAAGCCGAAGAGTTTTTCTTTAAAGTATAGATTTAAAATAAATTCAAATAAAAATCTATTTGTTACATAAATTAGTACTTACATTCGGAAAATAAAATAAAAACACGATACCTCGTAGACGAATGTTAAAAACAAATAAAAGAGACAATAAAACCTTTCCCTAATTAGAAAAATAGTGAATTTTAGATTTAAGAAAAAAAAAAAAAAAGAAAGAGCATCGATCCTTTTGATAACATGTTCAGTTATTTGTTAAGGAAGTTGTTAGTTAATGAGTAGTGTGTCACCTCGATATACCATTTAGTAACGAAAGCAAAAAGCTTATTAACTGTAACTAGAATACGTAAAACTGGTTTAGAATAAACCCTATTATTTTTTTTATACTATGTTGTATGTATCATACGACCCAGGACATGTGAATAGAATAGAAAAGAAAATGACATAGGATATAATCTACATAATCGTGATATTCTAGATTTAATTAACATGAAATAAGTATGATTTTTTAGCATTGTTGTGAGTTAATATTGATTTCTTATTCAAGTTGTTCTTGTTTGTTAGGATAAGGCAACGCAACACGACGGTGACCTGTCGAGAGGGAAGAACTTTCTATGGAAAACTGGCCTTTATTAAGGTGCTAAACACGTGAAGAAAACCCGGAAAATTTTTCCGACCAACTCGTTGATTAGGCGCGAATTCCAGATTAAAATTTCATTTACGTTCCAAGAAATCCATGTGAATTTTATAATCGTCATAATATTTATCATATACTGTACACCTTAAGTAACCCTAAACCTGATATATATATATATTATATAACTTGCAGTTTCTCACAAGTCTGTATTTCAATACTAATTTTTTACAAGTGTACAGTACATTATAGTAATATATTTCCAACTTATCCTCATTAAATCAAACATCTTGGTTGAGGTATTAGGCTTTCACCCTAAAGTGCCCGGATCGAATCTTCCCGAGAATTGTCGAGCAATTTTTCAAGGTGGCCAGATGTTGAGGCTCAGTGCCTCAACACCTGGCCACCTCGTTGTGGGATTGACCGAACTCGCAATAGATATGATTTTAATAAGCCTCTTTGTGTCTACAAAGCGGAAAGAGACAACAATAAAAAGTAAAATACTCAAAATTCTTACAAATATTTTGGTGTTTTTTATTATTGTATTTTGGTTATAGACTCGTAAAAGGTTAATAATGTCAGAGCATCCTTTTAAAAGATATGCGGCTTTTAATAAAAAAAGTAGTGACTATTATAATGATACTCTCGAGATCCTGAAGTGGGCATTTCTTAGAAGATATTTTATTTTTAAATCACGCTTATAATCGCCTTAGTTTGAATGAAATAAGATAAATTTTTAAAATATAAACTTCTTAAAATTGTTAAAATGTAAACGGTTGAATAAATATTTATTAATATAAAACTTGCTCTTAACAAAAAACGAGTATTATGTAAATATAATAAGTTATAAAAGTAAGCAGACTAAATTCAGCTTGAGGTCAAAAATTCAGGAAGCAAATAATTTATTTAAATTTAAATTATGATATAATTAATAGCTGAATTACAATAATCGAAGCGTACAAATATAACGTACAGAATTTAATAAAATGACAGCATCTGAGAGCTTTTAATAAAATTATATTCGTATAAGTAATGTTATTTGTTACATAAAAATTAGCATTTATAATTACATAATTAAATGTTTTTATTTGTACTGTACAACGAAATAAAATATTTCGAAACAATTCAAATGTCTTATTGGGATATTCTGAAACTGTTTTGTATTTTTGTATTTTTAGTTCATAAATTATTTATTTTAAAATATATATTTAGAAATAATTTTATTTGGCGTCAATCAAGCTTACAGTTAATTGATATGGTATTTCCACTTCATTCATAAAAAATTAGTATTGATGTGTCTACGATTGTATTCTTTCTGAAATAAAGAAAAATCTGTTGAGAGAATTGTCAGTCAACATTTTGTTACAATCTTGTCATTAAATATTGAGTATTTTCCCTCGAAATTATCTTTTATCCATGTTTATTTCTAATTATAACATTCCTTCAGTAGCTTATTGATCGATTTACTTAAATAATTGTTTTATAATACACGTTTGTTTTTTGCCTCGTATCTTATGAAATTATCCACACGGGAATAAGAAGTTGTAAACATCATTATTTTTACAACTAAATAATATTTTTGATTTTTAATTTTATACAGATTTTGCTATAACTTCTAGTTCTAATCTTTCCAAAAATATCTATTTACAACGTCTTATTTTTTCTTAATTATATTTTAATGTTTACATAATACATATAATGAAAATTACATAAACGAAATAAAATGTTTATTGCAAACTTTGTCTTCTTATATTTTGATTTATTATCTTAACTCTTTAAATGTTAAAATTGATGGCTTTAGATTTTAGATAGCTTAGAATAATAATTTTATTATATTATTATATACAGTGTTGACAGGTTAAATCATTATTCCAAAACATAATTACGAGATCATTTGAGTTGAATGTTAATTGCTTCTGTCGACTGAATATCTTAGCATTACAGTGATGAGAAAACTAAATAGTAAATATAAATCATTAATTTAATCTTTAGTTAATAATTCTTTTAACTAATAATTGAAACAAAACTTATTTTAAATTAATTGAAGTTAATGCTGAAGAAAATTTATCATAATTCTTTCGAGATTGTTATTATATTTGTATTTTAAATTTTGTCTACTATCGGATTTATTATTTTGTGTTCTAAACTAGGGAGAAAATGTTTATCCATTTTATATTGTTCGTAAATAAATAAACAAATAATTCGTAAACTTTCTGATTTGACATTTAAATATATAAATAATAAGATTCCTATATTTCAGCTTAAATATATAATATTACTTAAAAGCAATATTGTTTGTTGATCCATACTTTCTGAAATCACTACTGTAAGTGTATATATCCTGTATTCAGCATGTCTGTGGATAAGAGCATGTTGCATTGCACGTGTATAGAACTTTAATATTGTGTCGATATCTTTCTAGCACCGGAAGATCTCATATTTACCACAGTATTGGAAAATTTAACTCTTTTATAGTAAACAGCTTTCTGTATATTGCAGATTTTATATTGCATAAAATTTTGATATACAATAATTTTCTGNTTAAATATTATTATCTGAATTTTTTTTGAAAGTTTTAGATATTAAATTTTAATGTAATTAGATTTTATTTGCATGTTAAAGTAATTTATGAAACCACAGTTTTTAAATACGTATTTTATTATTTATTCAGCTATTTCTTTATTAGATTTACTTGAAGAGTTTAAAAATGTTAAGAAGTTTTAACATTTTTTATTTAACATTCTTCATTTTTTAT